GATCCTACGAGGAGTGATAGAAAGGAACAGAACCAGCTCTGCGTCTGTTGCGGCCACCCTTGGGGAGGATCATTCCCAAGAATTAGTCTTTTCCTCTCCAATACTTTGCCCTCGCTTGAATATTTGTTGGCCAACTCTCTGAGAATTTTATGCTGGGTTAGGATGTAGTTACTGTGGCTATAGTCTTCATCACTTACAATTCGCCTGGTTAAGTGACAATATCATGCACGAACTCAAGAAATGGGATGCATACATAAGAGACAAAGTTTATTTGATGAGCTGGCAGAAGTATATTTACCTTTGAACCACCTTATCAACTAAATTCATGGATGCCAATTGGCGGATGTGGCTCATCACATCTATTCCATCATCGTCATCCTGGTAAAGCTCTGCCCATATGTCGCTTAAGGCAGTAATAGGGATAATTTCATTTTCAGGGAACAAGCCAAGGTCCATGAAGAATTCTCTAACGGCTGGAAAATCCTTCAAAACACTTAATGAGTTATGGAGATAGGTAAGCGCCCCTGAAGGAGAATAGTCTCCGCTCCGTGACAACTCTTTCGACTTCTTTCTCCAGATATCAGGATGCCTACCCCTGAGATCACCGCCAAGTACTTTGATCGCTAACGGGAAACCTCCACAACTTCCCACAACCTGATGATAGAAGCAAGTTGATCCTTTTCGCTAAATTCTGAAAATAAGATGATTAATTATGAACCAATGTTAGAGAGAAAGGACCTGTTGGAGAATACGTTCTTCAGGTAAATTGAAGGAGGTGGGGCCAATTGGCTTTGCAATGTGACGTAAAAGCTCGATTGCAGCATCTTCATCCAGTGGTGTCATGGTCTCTCGGGTGCCCAATTCTGGGATATCAACTCTTGAAATCACCAAAATTCTAGATTTAGAACTTGATGATATCCAATTCATACACTGCTCAACAAGTCCCACAAAGCCAGGCTGAAAATTATCCAGCACCAGAAACACGGCCTCATTGTTCCCTTTTTCACGCAACTCTTGAAGCAATTGCTCTGCCACAACCTCGTTGCTTTCAATCCATGAATCTGCGACGAAGATATTATCCCTGAACCAAGCTGTTCATCCAGATGAGTCCTCGGCATCACACTTCAATTCATTATTCCATTTGAATGATACTGACTAGGTATATAGTAATCAAGATAAATAGGATGAAAATGCGTGCTCGGGGACAAAAACTCTTCCATCATTAATTATAATTCTACGGTGTATAGTGATAGAAGAGGGGGTTACCTCGGACTTGCGGATCATGACGGAGCTGTTTGGCTAAGGTGGTCTTGCCGGAGCCGGCAAAGCCAGTCAAGTTAAGGATCTGACCACCACCATCCATGATGACGAAAGACTTCAATTTTCCCAACAATGGAGCATGCAACTCCAGGGTAGACTCAGGCAGAGATATTTCAAGATCGCTCTTTATTAATATTTCTTGTCTCCTAGTAGGATTGGTCTGATCTGAAGTCCCATTTCGCGCGATGATGAGCAATTCGAGCACATTCGCTGCCGTCTGAACAGGCAAAAAATACTCTATGATTTCTTTCATTTCATTCACTGCTTTCTCCATTTCTTTCTGGTAAAATGGCGCCAGCCAGAAACACCACCCGACTTCGGAGCATTTAAGATGAGCGTCTCGTATTTTGTTCATACTCTCCTGGAGCTTCTCTATCACCCGAGGTTCCACATTCGCCTCCCTGGACTTTTGTTCAATATTTGCAAACAATGGACCCAACAATTCCATGGCGGTCTCGAGGCGTTGCGCTGTTTCTGGATGCTTTGGACCCCTTTTGATTAAATCCCAAAGCTCTTTCCCTATCTCGTTGGCCAGCTTCTTCCCGGCTGTCGCCAGAAATACTACTTCTGCCATCGGAGACCAACTAGGGTTCTGCAAGTTTCAATCTTGATTTAGCAGTGTTGGCTTTAAAAGCTAATATGTTTCAGCCCGGTTATTAGGTGTCTCGCAATTTTGAGCGATAGAAAACGAAGACCACAAAGGCATAAACTGGAGGACACCCAGCAATTTAGTCAATGGTGTTGTCTCATTGTCCGCCGGCCTGAGAAAGCAGCTTGAAAGTTCCATGAAAGTTCGCTTTTAATATTTGATAAAAACTGTAATCAAGAAAAAATTTTTGATTAAAAAAATATTTACATTAAATATTTAACCGTATTTTAAATAAAATTATTATCAATCAAAGATATATAAAAAATAAAAAATAAACTTGTGTTACTGTGTTCACTTTAAAATGGATCTGTTGTTATTATTTTTTTTATTTATAAATATGTGTAAAAGAAAGAAAAAATTATGTTGAAATACTATACGACATAATTAAATATTATAAGGTTGATTAAAAATTTAAAAAATAAAAATAATGATTAAATATATTATCATTTTTCTTTGCTAAATTATCAATGGACCTTATAATATTTAAATATATTATACAGACATATAATTTATGTTTATAACATAATTAAAAAAATATTCCACTACTTTTTCCAATTTAAAATATAATTATTTTTTAACTAATATTAATTCAAATTATAAATAACTAAGTATTTATATTTTATTTTATTTTATTCTTTGTATTTATTATTCTAAATTCTTGTGTATGTGAATTTTTTACATTCTTCTCACTCATGAAAATTGAAATTAAGAGTAAAAAAATAAAATATATTTTTTAAGAATAAATATTTTATTTATATATAAATTATTATTAAAAGATATTTATATTTTAAATTGGGGGAGTAATTGCTTAATAAATTTTACTCATTACTATATAAGGACAGTAAAGAGAATAACCTGTCTTTTTTTTTCCCCCCTATCACCAACTCGATTAACAAGTTGGCCTTTCAGGAAATTTTCGTGTTTGATCTGTATGCCACTTTTGATAAAATAATTACTTATTTTTAAGTTAATTTTATTTTTTTATATTTACTCTTATTAAACATCATATAATAAATATAAAATTATTTATTAATAGAGGCACTTTAAAAAAAGATAATAATTATATCACGAAAGACTAAAAATATCTTATATTTTTTAACATTTAACTCCTCAAAAAATACTTTATATTTTTAAACAAAGAAAGTATATAAATTTATGTTTTACCCTCAACGTTGTTGAGATTAATAGTCACTTAGCGCATGTTTGTTTTCTATTTTTAAAAACTATTTTCTTATTTTTAAAAACAGAAAAATTAGAAAACTTGTTTGGATAAGTATTTTTTATTTGATTGTTTATAAAACCATTTTCATTTTTTGTTTTTAAAAACAAAAAAAAAGAAACAACTTTAAATTGTTTTCATTTTATTTTTTTTATTTTTAAAATACATTACATTTAATTATTAAAAATTATAGTTATCTTGACTAACTTCTATTATTAATCATCACCATTAATTATCTATAACTATCATTATCAGTCATTTTTTAATTTAAAACTGTTTTTTAATTGACTTAACCAAACAGATTTTTAATTTATTTTGTTTTAAAAAATAATTTTAAAAATTATATTATAGAACAGTTTTTAAAAACAAAAAATAAGAATAAAAACCAAACAGGACTTTAAAATCTTTTGTTTTATTCTTTTTATTGTAACGGATTAACCTAACTTCTTTCATTTCAAGATATATGTATGTGTGTGCGTATAAATTAATGGAAGAATGACATTAAACTCTTAAAATAATAAATTTATAATAGTTAAGTTTTGATAAAAAAATTAAAATAAATTCTACCTATTAATTATAATTAAGATTACTGTTTAAATTAATATCCATAATTAAATTTTTTAAAAAAATTGTGACAACTTAACTCTCATAAATTTTAAGTTTTGAGATTTTATTGTTATTCTTTTCATTTAATTGTGTTGTAAATTATGGGGGATAGAAAAACTAAGAAGACTGGATCGAGGTCAACTGACGGGACAACAGAAAAACCTTCAAAGTAATTAGTGGAGTATTTTTTTTTATCTATTAAATATATCAATTATATGGAGTATTATTTCAAAGAAAGTCATCGTCGCATTGAGAATTCACCAACCCTGGTACGTACCTACTGGCTACCAGTAACGTGCAAGATTGAGGCTGGTGAATGAGAGTCATGTGATGGACAAACATCCCCCGCACAACCAAATGCTCACTCCCTCACTTTATTTGATTTACCACAAGTTGGACAACTGCTACGTCGCAGACTTTGTCTATTCTCATTCTCTATCAGTGATTGATTGCACTGATAAAATTTGGCAGGATCATTTCGTCCAATTTTATTATATCAAGATAAAAATGTAAAATTTTTAAAAATATTCTTCATTTAATAATTTTAAATAAAAAATATAATTAAAAAATAATATTAAAATAAATATTTAATAAAACTTTATTTTTATCAAATTATTTTATATTTTAAAATATTGAATCAATTCCAAAATTATTTTATAAATTGAAACAAAGAAAAAATATTAATAATTATGACTAGATAAGGATGATTAAAACTATTTTAATTATAAGGCTAAAAAGTATAAATTTATTCATAAACTATTTTTTAAAAATTCGTACCATGAGAGTATGTCGAAAAAATCTTCCACTAACCATGGAACGCGTAGGTTGACTGATATGGGGTCTTTCTAACTTAATCAATGATCTCGAGTTCAAATTTTAAGAATGCAACCAGTATAATAAATCTCTAAAGAGGGGTGTGGTAGAGGTTTCCTCCAATATGAGCCAACCCCGGTCTCTATAACAACTCAAAAATTTTTTTTTAAATTAATGATAAGATAGGTTAAATATATTTTTAGATATTTTGAGGTAAATTTATCAAGATAAATTGATGGTTTAGTAGCAAGTACCTTTGATAGTAAGTTTGAAGTTACAAATTCGATTCGATTCCTACAGAGACAAGAGTGGGGTTATTATTCAGCTCTTATAAAATTACTATAAGGTCGTTGGTCCCATCAGATTTATTTCCCCTTCTTCGTTCCAATTTTGCATTCTTTTTATAGAAGCTGAGAGAGCAGGATAGATCTGAGATTCTAGAACCCTCAACCTCAGCTTTTCTCGAATTCCACCGACGTTCTCCGCCCTTCCTTTTGAGTCTTCAACGTCGCCGGCGTGGGTCTGTTAGAGAGCACCGTTCATCGTTGCTGCCACAATTTTCTCCTCTTCCTTGTTCTGTCATCGTTCAGTTCCTCCCCTGCATGTGTGTTTGAGTTGGTTGCTATCAGTTCTTCTTCCTCCTCTGCCAGTCAGCTTGCCGTTGTCGACAGGTGCAACTACTCTGTCCACCATTGCTGTGAAATTCCATTGTGAGTTTTTCTTCCTCTGGTTGTCGTTGTTTGCTGTCTGTGTGCGTCCTTGTTCATTCTTCTTCCTCCTTGCTTTGTGCTGTAGAAAATAGTTCTCCTCTCTTGTCCGAGCTGCTATGGTTCAATGTACAAGGTTCCTTTCCTCTTCCCCTATTTAGCATGACAGATTCGTCCTTCTCCCTTTTTTGTTCTGCCATGGTTAATATGAGGTAGAGAGATTCTAATCCTTCACTTCTTCATTGTTCTTTGTGTGCTACTTGGTTTGATTGTGATTTCTTATTTATTCCATTGCCGCCGTGCAAGTTATGAGGGGACAAATGTGTTTGATCAGCAGTTTGAGTTTATGAATCTGATTTTTAATAGATAAATGCATTCATGCTAGAACTGATAGAAGGGGGAAATATATTTAATTTTTCTTTAAAGAGTAGCTGATTTTTTTTTTTTTTTTATTAAAGGATTGGAATTGGGTTGGTTGATTAATTTCAATATCAATATTGTAATTTGTGGGAGATGAGATGAAAAGGGAAGATGTTTGGTATTAGTTTGAGAATTAAGGCATGATAAATGTCGATAAAATGCTTGTTAGGAGAAGATTGCTTGAATATATATTTTCTGAGATTTTATTGACTCTTAAAAGAAGTATGTCTAGTTTGAATGTTATTGATCTATGAACTTGAACCTTACAAAGAAATTTAATTATGAAGTTAATATGTAAGTTGAATTATTGGGAATGATATAGATGTTGATAAATTACTGAATAAGAGATTTAAGATTAGAAAGTTTTAATTGAATGATTGGAAGTAATACACCTAAGGTTCTTGAGGCAAGCCTAAGAGATAATCATTTTTTAAGTAAATAGATTGGTTTGGCTTGAGCAATATTGAAAAAATTATAGGTATAAATGATGATAATTGGATAAATTTTAAGAGATGAATTTTGATAAATTTTGAATGGTTGTAGTTGATTGGGATTGTATTAGAAGTGAAAAGAAGTTTTTATAAATTATAGGAAATTAATTAAAGTTTCAATTATTCATATTCTTATAGGATGTGCGGAAAAAAAAAAGGTCTTGATAGGAGTTAAAAGGAATTTTGAAATTTGGAAACACTGCAGGTAAGTAGATAGTATCCCAACTAATTTATCAATGAAATTTTTTTTCAAGATATTTTTTACATAGATCATTCAATAACAATTATATTACACACTTAATGCTTTGTTAGTTAAATTATTTTTATTTTTATCTTGAGAAATTATAAAGAGATGTTGAAAGATATTTGAATTATGGCATATGTATGTGTTTTTTCCTTACGAAGAAAATTGTCAAAATTGATTAGATTATTTCTATCAACTATGGTTATTTTTGAGTTACTTAATAAATGCCAACCATAGGCATTTGTTATGAAATTTTATTTTGGGAAGGTTTTTAATGCTTAAAGCTATTCATGCGAGTTTAATTTTGAAGATGAGAACTGTATTTTATTATTGATGATCTTCTTGCATATTTAAAAATGGATTTGAAGAGGATTTTATACAGGACACTGGTTGCTAATGGCAGTTCCATTAGCTCTTGGCGTGTCATGGTTATAACTAGTTAGTTCGACTTTCATGAGCATCTTACTCATGTTTGTTATTCGTGGGTTTTGCACCAGCATTTGTTTCATGACTTCAAGCCGTGTTTGGTTAATATTACCCTCGTGGATTGTGTATCCACATTTGTTTCGTAGCTCATGCTGCATTTAGTTACTAACCCTCGTGGATTATGTGTCCACATTTGTTTCGTGGCATAAGCCATATTTGGTTATTTACCCTCATGGACTGTGTATCGATATTTGTGAATTGTTCTAATAAATTCCTAGAAATATGAATTTTTAGTTGGTGATTTCATATTTAATGATTTTCAATTAGTAAATATTGTTATTATTATTTATTTATTATTTAATTATTTTGATTTGTCAAGATTAAATGTTAAAGTTGTTTTATCATTATAGATTTAAATGTTTTTGTTATTGAAGTTATATAGATCTTTTATTCTAAGTAGACCAATTTGCTTACATTGAATTATTTTCTTATGTAATTTATATATTTATTGTATTTTATTTATTGTGATTCTACAAAATATTATGGTTGGGATGTTATTCACTGAAAAGTTATTTTGCCCTCAGATAGCGTAGTTGACACTGTACGTCCTGCTTTCCAATGAGGGATTTTTGCTGAGCTCGGTGGAGATTTGTTCTGTAAATATAAATTTATGAATTATATTATGAAAAATATGATTAAGTGCTCCACATAGACTATAGTTAGGGTCTTGATTCTCTTTGTTATATAGTCTATTTGTTGTTGTGGAGTAGAGCTTGATATTGCTGGGTATAAATTGTAAAATTTTTGTTATAGAGATTTTGGAGATCCTACTTATAGGGAAGGTATTGTTGAAATTTTTACATGAAGTTTGATATTTTGATTATATGAAAAATAAAATTTGATGTATATAATCAAGCTGATAGTAAGTCATATGTATTAATTTAGAATTTTTTTTAATCGAAGCCGTAAGGAGTGTGTGTTTAAGTGCACATTTCATGTCGACTACTCTCATATTTCGGAGCGTGACAGTCTCAGTTCGGATTAGTCTGGCCCTGCGTTTGTGGGCTGGGATACCGGAAGCTATCACAAAAAAAAAAAAAAAAAAAAAAACAGATCTTCAACCCTTTTGTTAACGTTAAGGAGATGGACGTTAGTTGAATTTTGATCGAAACTCTGCCCACGCTACTCTACTTCTTCCTCCTCTGCTTCTTCTTCCTCCTTCCTTCTGCTTTCTTCTTTCCTGCTTTTCCCCCTCTACCACCACTTTCCCTTTTTAAGGATTTGATGATATCCGACCCATGCACTGCTCAACAGGTCCTATGAATCCAGGCTGAAAATTATCCAGCACCGGAAATACACAGCCTCATCATTCCCTTTCTCACTCAACTCCTTAACCAATTGCTCTGCCACAACCTCATTGCTTTCAATCCATGAATCTGTGGTGAAGATATTATCGCCGAACCAATCTGTTCATCCAGACAAGTGCTTGGCATCATACTTCAATTCACTACTCCATTTGAAGGATATTGACTAGGTATATGGAAATCAAGATAAATATATTATTCATTTATTACTCTAAGTAGTATGGATATATCTTAGATAGAACTGGAACAAAAACTCTTCCGACATTAATTATAATTCTACTATGTGTAGTGATAGAAGAGGGGCTTACCTCGGACTCCCAGATCGTGCCGGAGCTGTTTCGCTAAAGTGGTCTTGCAATTGTTTTTCAATTTTAAAAGGTGTTAGTTTAAAGATTATCTTTATTTTTAATATTATTATATCAAAATAAAAATTTATAAGAAATCTAAAAAATTTTAATATTAGATCTAAATTGTCTATAGTATATCTAGATAATTAATTAATAAAAAATTATAAAAAATTTTAATATTAAACTCGACCACCAAAATTAAAACTATATTATTTAAATTGGTGATAAAGTAAATTTATTAAAATTTTTATTTTAATAAACATAAGATAAGAGTATAAAACAAAATCTTTAAATTTAAATTGTCCAAATTAAAATCTTGAAGGTGCATATATTATCAAGTTGATGAGCACCAAACCAAGCGTATGTATGCTTCTATCTTATGTTATGATCGATGATTAAAAAATCGAATCGAACCAGACAGTTGAATTGGTTAGCAGTCAATCGGTTAGGCTAATGGCTCAATTAAGCCAAAAAAATTATTTATGAAGTTGGGCTGGATTATGCCACTTTAGATTGGCAATCGGACTGAAAACCTGAATTAAGCTGAGAATCGAATCTGATTTTTAAAAACTGGACTGTTAAAAAAATGCCCTTTTTATTTTTTATCAATTTTTTTAATCATTTGATGTTTTATTGTATAATATGACTTGTTAAATCATGATAAACTTAAAATATTTAGTTTTATTGTTAAGTTAAGTTGCAATTTCACATTTATTTCTTATATTTAGATTATTATATACATATATATATATATATATATATTAATTTAATTATTACATTATCGATTCGACCATGCGAACTGTAAACCACTGAGCTTTTCAATTCAATATTCGGTTTCATTTTGAAAACATTGGTTATGATGCTTCCTTCTTTAGAAAAATACTTAAGTAGGCCAGGTCCACCACCTCATTTATATTTTATCTAATTAAAATACTCTAAGTAATCTAAATAAAATCTTGTGTGATATTTTTTAAATTAATTTTATTTTTATATCAGAACGTATATTTGATTTCTTGCCTTTTTTCTCTCTACTATTATTAATATCAAAATTAATTTATATTTAATGTCATGTAAATATTATGTTTTTGTTAAACACACTATAAATGATGTTTTATACTTAGTCTATCTAAATATTTATTCCTTCTTTGTGGGTTGATCATTGAAGAGAGTCTGGACGAGACATTTTCCCACAATGCTCGAAGCCTTCTTCATCGAGTCTGAAAGAAGAGAGAAGCATGTGTCATTGGCAAACGAACTAGACTTACTTTTTCTGCACCATATTTAATCTAGCAATTGAGGGTTGGCAAAATTGAACAAAACTGACTATATCAAACCAATTTAATGAAAATTGAATAAAATTGATTATTATTAAAACTTAGTTTGGTTTTATAAATTTTAAAATTTTGGTTTTATAAATTTAAAAACCAAATGGAATTTGGTTCAAGTTTTGATTTCTTTTTTTTCAAAATCTTAACCAAATTTGAACCATATTTTTTATAATTTTAAATGTATTTTCTATATATCATTAATATTAGATTATTAGTATTTATCTTTTTTAATTTTAACTTTAACTAAAGTTGAACCAAAACCCAAATTACTTTAATAGGATCTCTCACTCTTCCTTTCTCAATCTTGCTATTAGAGAGTCAAATGCATAAACTCATATTTCTTTAAGAATGATCTTTTAGATAATTTTAGATATAGAATTTTTTCTTTTTTGATTCAAAACAATTTTTTTTTTATTTCTCACATGTATCCTCCTATTAGAGATAATATTGTTCTGGGCACAATTGGGTACTAAACGTGGACACCTCCCATGTTAATAATGCAATTTAACTTGTGTTACTATTGATGTTTATTGATAATAAAATTTAAATGTTTTTATTATGGATATGATGTTCATTTTCATTCATAAATGATAAAGTCCATAATATGACTTGAAATTGGAAAATGAAAGGGGGGAAAAAGTAAAAAAAAAAATCATGCTTTAGTCTTAGTATACGATTTTATATGTTAGAAAAAATTGAAATTTAATCCAAGCATGTATAAATTAAAACAAATCAAACTAACTAAAAACCAAATCAAACTAATCTTAATAAAAAGTCCATCAAATGTTACTTTTTTGTACAGATAGATTGTTGGTTTAGTTCATGTGTTTTGATCACAATCGAACCAAATTACACTTTTAACTACCCTTGGTAGCGGCCTTGGTTTCAAGCTGTGGAGGGTAAGCACAATGTCAATGTCAATTTAATTTCTAAATTCTTCATGTAGCACATCTAATTGCTCACAGTCAATGTCCTTCTTAGAGTGTGTATGTTTGGTTTTCAATTTGTTAAAAATTTATTTGACAAAAGTCAGTTGTTGTAATGAAATTTGTGTTTGAATATATTTTTCAAAAGTCAATTTGATAAATTAAAATTTATTTGAATTATATATAGTGAAATGTGCTTTTAAATAGACAATTACCGAAAAAAACATTGATTTATAATGATTTATAATTTTTGTTATATAAATTTAATATATTAAAAATATTTAAAAAATGTGATAAAAAATTTCAAAAGGGTGCTCTATTAGAAATGTTTGGATGATGTAAAATGAAAAATAATTTTAAATGCATAGTTACTAAAAAAGAGATATAGAATTTATTATATGTAATTTTTGTCATGTATAATTTGATTTATTAAAAATATATAAACAATGGTATAAAATTTAAAATGGTTAATAATATATAATAAAATAATAATCCCTCCATTTAAAAATGTAAGGCATTTTTAACCAAATCTCACCCCCCAATATAGTAGTTACCTACTTTCTAATTAACCATATCTTTTCATATTTATCCCTATTAAATACTCTATAATAAATATAAAGTCATTATTAATAGGGACACTTTTGAAAAAAAAAGGTAATGATTGCATCTCTAAAGACTAAAAATATATTACATTTTTTAATATCCAACTCCTCAAAAAATACCTTACATTTTTGAACGAAGGGAGTATAAAATTTTATATGTTGAAGAATATATATATATATATATATAAAGATTTATAAATAATTTTTAAATATCAAAAGATATAAAAAATTATTTTTTAACAAGAAAATAATTTATTCTTTTTGTTAGAACATTGGCAAAATAACAAAGAAAATAACGCAAAAGGTTAGAGTAGTATGTGAATTTTTGTGGTCCGTAATAACAGATGAAGAACAAGGGTAATATAAAAAGTTTAAAAATTTTACTTATCTTATCACATGCTCAACTAGCTTTTTCAAATGCGAAAATAACTCTAATGTACTTTTACAAAATAGACTTTTAATAACATTTCAAATGCACTTTAAGAAAGCAATTTCATTCTCAAATTTTTATTCAAATAACATTTGATTTTTAGAGAGTACAAAAGCACAATTCAAAATTTAAATGTGAGATATCCAAATAGGTCCTTAGTTGACTTCCACAAATTATCTTCTGAGTTCTATATATAATGTCCCCATCTAATCTGACTTTTGTGATTTGACATTTTTCACAATTTTTACTGTCAATAATTATTAATTTTTCATTATATTTAATTAATTAGTTCAACTTGACAAATGTTCAGAAAGTTTAATTTATAGTTGATTACCGATTTTAATTTTATAATTTCTGAGAAGTCTAACTACTTTTTAGATAAATATATTACTTTTTCATGCTAAAAAAGGTCCTTTTAGTTAAATTTCCTTTTAATTAAATTTTATTTTGTATTTTAAGGAAAAATTTGGAAATATATAATAACTATATATTAGAAAAGCATAACATGCTTGGATTTTGTTCATTAAGAATCTGTTTGGTTTTTGCTTTTAAAAACTATTTTCTGTTTTTAAAAATAAAAAAAATAATAACTCATTTGAATAAGAGTTTTAAATTTATTTATTTTCAAAACTATTATCATTTTTTATTTTTAAAAATAAAAAATAAAAAAATTAAAGTTATTTTTATTTTTCTTGCTTTCAAAACAAAATATATTTTATTATTAGAATATAGTTTTTATCACAAACCATCCCAATTACTTCCCTGCAACCATTAACATCGGCCTATTTTTTAATTTTATAACTGTTTTTGAATTAATATAACTAAACAGATTTTCATTTTGTTTTGTTCTGAAAAATAATTTTAAAAAATGTGTAAAAAATTTTTTTTTTAAAAAAATATAATATTTAATTTTTATAGTTTCATTGAGTTTGACTTTTAGTTTCTGTAATTTTTTTTTAATGTTTTTAGTTCTTATGGGGACTAACAACAATAAAAAAATTGAAACTATAGGGACTTAAGAAATAAAGGTCACCAATCTTTATGAAATTATAAGGATTGAAAATACTGAAAAAAAAAGTACAAGCATTAAAACATATTAATAAAACTTATAGGGATTAATGATTGTGTTTTAAAAAAAATAAAAAATGGGAATTAAAACCAAAGAGGCAATAAATTTCTTTCATAGTTGTGAAGAAAGTATAAGGCTTCACTTTCTAGAAATAATTTTTAGTGAACCAGACATGGAAAAGTCCACTGCTTCATGCAAAGTTTAGCTTTCCCTTCCTAGCTATTTACCTCTCGATTCCTTGACCAATTGATACCTTTGATGGAATATTTTCCAAATTATTCCCTTTCTATTTTACTGCAATACCGCAACGCAGATCGGATCTTAATTCAAACCAGTTCATTTATCCATTTAATAACCAATTCATTGCCAAAAAAACCATGCATTTTCCACAATTTTTTTTCACAATTTTTATAAATCGTGGCTTTTCCCACGCTTTTTGACAAAAAATGTGGAAAGTCTCGCGAATTTGTTAGAAATCATGGGAAAATATTTTGATAAATATTTTCCCACAGTTTTGACAAACCTTGGGAGCATCCAAATATTTCTTTTAAATTTGTACTTGCTCTTTTGTTTTTTATTTGCTTTAGATCTTCTCTCTCATTTTTCCATTCGCACTAATTGTGCACCAGGTTCTTGCTGCTCGCGAAAGCACACTTAGCCTCTATTTTCATCTTCTAAAGTAAAGTTCTACCTCTTCATCTTTTAAAACTTCATCTGCATTTTATTTTCTTTGTCATTGGGTATATTTTTTCTTTATTTTATCTTTTATGCTCCTTCACTAGTAATAGTAAAACTTCTTCATCCGCCTTTCTTTTTTCTCATCCTCTAGTATTTTTCTTTTATGCTTTTATCTTTTTGATATATTTCTTTAATATTCTTATCTTTTCTGTTCTTTCATCTTTTTTTTTTTTGTTGGAGTTGAAGGTGTACTGTACAGAGTTAAAAAAGATTGCCTCTTTCTTTAAGAATTTTTCCACCTTTGTATGGTGCACACAGTTTTTGTATTAGATATGTAATTTTTCCTCTTTCTTTAGCAACTTGTTACTCTACGAAGATGCAAGCTCTGGTGGTGTGTTTCAAATCCTTGTTCTTTCATCTTCTTTAATGTAATATATGATCTTCAGTTTGCGCAATATATATATATATATATATATATATGACTAGGTAAATTATGAATCATATTTTAATAAATTTACTCATTTTTAATATTAACCAATGCTTCTTATATTAATTTCTCATCAGATTAAATTAATATGTTTGGAGTGAATTAATTAAACCACTAGCTACAGAATCATAAAACCAGCACTTAATCAGTGATGTGGGATTAGATTTTAATTTTCTAGACTAATTAAAATATTAATTGAATCGTGGATTTTTTTAATTACATTTAGACAATTTTTTTATAATATATAATAATATCAAAATATTTTTTTAATTTTACATAATCATTTCCCACAGTTTTTTTAAAACTGTGAGAAAAGCCAAAATTTGGATACTGCCACAATTATGACACAATTGTGACTCTTTCCATGGTCCTGTCAGAACTGTGGGTATTGCCACAGTTCATTAAAAAATCACTTAGGATAAATATTTTTACAGTTTTCAAGAGCTGTGGGAAATTATCATTTCTACGGTTTAAACCGTAGCTAATGAAGGAAAAAAATCGTGGCAATTACCATATTTTTTTTTTGTAGCGATCTGATTTTTCAAACAAATTAATTTCTTCTTTCTCTGTTTTTTTTTTTGGTTGTGGCTATATTTTTTGGTGCAAAAGAAAAGGTCAATTAATGAATTTGGAAAGATCCTGAAAAGTTACATCCCGTTGATCCCATATTAGAAACGGAGGCTGGCTTCTGAGTATTGGTTGTCTAGTAATAGTCAACCAACATTCTTGTACAAATTCACAGCAGGAGATTCATTCAGACAACGAACCAGAAAAAGAAAAGTGAAAAAAACAAAAACAAACACAAGTTAATAAACATAAAGGCATGTCAATTCACAACTGTTTGGTAGCTAGTGCATTGAAAGCAAAACTTTTTTATTTTCTTCTTCAGAGCTGAAAAATGCATTCACCAGTTATGAATAATCATCTCTATCCATTTTCATGGTTATGCCACCCTCGTCATCTCCTTCAAAGTCACCCCGAAGCCAATTTAAGTTAACGCTCTTGTCCGTCTCAACCTTGAGTTCAAAGTCTATGAAACCCTGGATAACTTCCCAAAGATGATATGTATATCCATCGCATGTCACCCTCTTTAAATGCGTCAATCTCGTCACCGAGTCAGGCAGACTACTTATAGAGCAATCCGACATGTTCAAATTCGTTAGACTCCTCAACTCACCGATGTTGTCCGGTAACTTCTTGATGTTCAGGCAGCATATGTCTAGAAAGCTTAGGCTCTCGAGCTCTGTGATTGACTCTGGTAGTTCCTTGATCTCCACGCAGTAACTAATCCGTAGTAATATCAAGTTCTTCAGCTTTCCAATTTCTTGCGGAAGTTCCATAAACTTAGAGCAATTACTGATGCTGAGCTTCTCTAGGGTTTCAATGTCGCAAAGCCCATCAGGCAGCTTCACCAAATCTTTGCAATGCTCAATGTTCAGCTCTACCAAATTTGGGAACTTCATGGAACTGTTCTCAAAAGCTGCGGACACTTCACACATGTAAAGCGTTAACTTGTGCAGGTTCTTGGATTCCCAGAGGCATGGAACTGAAACCTGCTGCAATCTGATTCTCCTGAGAGTCTGTAGAAAACTAATCAGCTCGAAGTTTTTGAATTTAGTGAACCAGCGATCCACATAATTGATCAGGATGAGAACTTTCAGGTTTCTCATTTCCCTAATGAATCTCGGCAATGTAAATTCGGTAGTCTTAAGGTTTAAAATCAGAACCTCAGCTTGGGCCGCTTGAATTACCCACGAATCTGGAGTGACCTCTTGATCTGCAATACATCACCAATCAAGTGGAAGAGAAAGAAGCAGAAAAAGAAACTATGGGAGAAGCACAAACCTGTTGAAATGGATAATATACGAGCATCTACCCTTTGCTGCGTTGGTCCTTTCAACAATGGCAAGTAGGCATAGATCATTCACTGCGGCTGTTTCTGTTGCCACCGTTCTGGAGGTTCATTCCCACTTATTTCAACAATTAGTCTTTTCCTCTCGAATGCTTCCCCCTGCTCGATTGAATATTTATTAGCCAGCTCTTTCAGAATACTATGCTGGGTTAAGAAGTGATTCTTGTAGTAATTGTCTTCATCACTTCCAATTCGCCTGGTTGATTCACAAGACCACGAGAGTACGCATATAAATTAATTTGTTCCAAGTCATCGGTGTGTGGGTGCGTGAAATAAATCGCCTAATAAATAGATTACCAATTTTTTGTTTTTCAATGTAGTGGTAGCTTAATATACTAATTACCTTCGAACCACTTCAGCCAAATTCATGTTGGTCAAATAGTGGATGTGGATCATGGCATCTATGTCATCCTCGACTTCTTGGTAAAGTTCTATCTACATGTCAAACAAGGCAGTAACGGGGATCATTTTATTTCTGGGGAATAAGCCGAGGTCCATGAAGAATTCCCTGATGTTTTGAAATTCTTTGGAAACACTCAAGGAACGACGGAGATGAGCAAGCAACTCTGTATCAGTATGACCTTTCTTCGACCATTGTTTCAACTTCTTCTGCCAGAACTCAATGGGCTGGCCCTGGAGATCCCGGCCAATTATTTTGATGGCCATCGGATAACATCCACAGACTTGTACGACCCGTAGGAGAGTGTCATTGTCAGGGAGGAAAGTGTAGGAGGTCGTGCCACTTGGTTGAACAAAATGACGTAAAAGAGCGATGGCATCTTCTTCACGCAATGGCGTCATCTGCACTGGGATGCCCAAACCTTGGAGAGTATCTTTTGAAATTACCAAAATCTTGGATTTAGTATTTGATGACATCTCATTACTCCACCTGGTAACAAGTTGTTCTGAGCCAGGCTCCACGTCATCCAGCAACAGCAACACCGTCTCGCTCCCATTTTAACCGAACTCGCGTTCCATTTGCTTAGCCAGGTCTCCATCGCTTTCAATCTTTGAACATTCGGGCACAAAATGGATATTGTCGCTAAACCAACCTGTTCATCCAGATCAGCCCCAACAGAATTTTGAATGTCAGTCCTTATATAACGTCATATATAGTATGCTAGGACGAGGACTTGCTTTTTAAGTAATTATAGGTTATAGAATTTGGGAATGTTTCGAAATTTTGTTTTCAGGGTATTGAGCTCAATTTGCGTTGTTGTTAACAATTTAATTTTAACCAACTTCCTACAAAACTAAAAATTAAACTAAAATCGCAATGAATATGTTTTATGATGTTTAATTGAAAAATATTTTTATTTTTAATGGAAATATATATAATTTCATATGAGATTAATAAAAAATAATAAAGTATACTAACTTTTGCATTGATTTTCGGGAAAGAGGTCAAAGCGTTGCGATTTTTAGGATGTACACCAAACGTGTCAAAAAAGTAAGCCTTCAAAAATATGAATCGAATTAAATAATCAAGCAAATTTCCAATATCTTTTACTATAATTTCCTTAAAAAGTCAAGTGCGTGTGAGAATAATAAAGAATGCATCGTGCTTAGCATAAAGCTCGATGTTATTACAAGTGAAGTGAGTACAATGGGGTGTTTCGTGAAGACAGAGGGGAAAATACATATGCAAAACTAGCCTAGGAAGCCAAACCTGCACAAAAAAAAGTAGTTTGTCTTGGGCAAGATTGGTTGACCAAGGTCAGGATTGGGGTTTTGCGCTAAACAAGTTTTGTGTAAGTTTGATAGTGTTAAGAATCTTTTAGTTTTGTAGTTATTGCCGATTTATAAAAAAATGGCAACGCATTTAAGTTTGGCGCAATAAAAAACAGGTACCTATCCACGCCATTTTGTGGTCGAGGGTATGTCCTCTCGTGCATCACTTCCTGCCTAAATGCAACGTTCACTCAACTCTATGGAGTTGGTTCATTGCTGCGCTCCTTTTTTCAGTGGATTAGGTTGGGCCTTGGTTACTCAAATTTTCGTCCAAACGCCAACCCTTGCTTTGTTTTATTTTAATTACACAAACTCCTCTTTTATTTGTAAAACCTATCCGAATTCCTCCCCTAGTCAATGTTTGTTTGATGATTGTTAAGCTATAGATGTGGGATCAAAATGTCTCTCTCTATTAAACATAGATGTTATTTGAACATCATTTAAATTACGTAAAAAAATTAACGCATACTTCATGCAGTTTTATTTATAAATTATTTTTAGCATTTTTTCTAAAAATCAATGAAAACTTTAAACCTCTTTAACTTTATTTAAAAGTTTAATAAATTTTCAACTTTATCCCTATTAAATATATATACTTAAAAAAATTAAATACTCTAACATTTAATAACATTCTCAATATTTAATAAGGACAAGAGAGTAAAGAAAGACACAATACTTATTGAAGTGTTTTATAAATAAGACTAAAGCAATTACTTTCTCTCGGCCTTATAAATAGAACTATAAAAGTATACTTTGTTCACAGTTTTATTCTTGAAATAATGAAATTTTAAATCTCCAAATTTGTTTCAATTATCAATTTAGTTCTTCAAGTGTAATAGTTGTTTATTTAATCTCATAATTTACCTCAATTATTGATTTTGTTCTTATTATTTAAAGAAAAAGTAACACTGATAAAATCTACTGATATGAAAAATAACATGATGGAAACCAAATAAATTAATGAAAAAGTGTAATTATATAAGTAAAAAGCAAAATAAAAAATTTGAAAAAACAAAAGAATTAACATACTTTTTTCCTATTAGATTAATTTGAACATCAATTACGTTATAAAATTTAGAAAACTAACATGATAATTTAAGAAAATTTAAATGACTAAAGGCTTATTTGAATAATCCTCAAAAGCACATCCCAATTCCCAACCACATTTGGGATGTCTTTTTTTCAAATTTAATAAATAGTTGAATCTTCTAAATATACTTTTGTCAGATATAAACTAAAATCCAGACAAGCGCTAAATAGATAAAAATCAAACTTGAGAGACCAGAGACCAAATTAATAACTGAAAAAAAATTGAGAGATTAAAAGTTTTGTTATCCCTTTATTCTTATTATAAATTTTTAAATAAATTTAAAGACATAAATTGGATAAAATAATATTTTAAACACATGTTAAAATTTTAATGAAATGTAAATTTAATATAATAAAACATAAATTCATCAATGTAATTTAGATTTATTTTAAAAAAATTATTAATGTTAACAAAATATTTTTAAATTATTTAAATTTATTTAAAATAAAAGGGAGAGAATAGGCAAATAAATTATAAAAAAATTAATAATTTTTAATTTTTTAACATCATTACACATAAAAAATTGGTATTAAAAATCAAACTAAAATGTATATTTTGAATATAAATAAAAAGTATTAGTAATTTTAATATAACACAAAGGAAGTCGCTTATTTTACAAAAAAAAATAAAAAAACCAAAGTCGCCTGAGATCTGAGTTCATCTTTCATGCTCATGGTGCTGATCATCCCTATTAACATGTGGACTGTTTCAATTTAAAACTTTTAATTTATATTTTTATTTTATATTGATCAAAATAAAAAATTATAATGCTTTTAATAATTCTTTATGTCACCCATGCGAACAATCCAGATTTGATTTAGAAGATTCAAATTTAATATTAATATTTTTTATAAATTTTTGTTTTGATAATTACAATATTAAAAATGAAGATAAACTGCACTAAAAATATTTTTTAAAAACATTATAAGTTAAAAATTTTAAATTTAAACCGTTCAGAAAAAATCTACTGATTTTTTTTTACAAAAGAAAATTTTATCAACAAAAGATAATTATGAGAAAACAATATAAAAAAGATCAAAGAAATTAAGTTCTATGGGCATGACTAGAAACAACAGAAATAAGTGAAAAATATAAAAACAAAATAAACAGATACAAGAAGATGAACGGACATGTGTAGAAGAACTTCAAGGTGAATCTATCCTCCGGATATGTATATATATGCGTTTGTATGTGGATGCAGGATTATAGAGACAGGGTTACCTCGGACATCGATATCATGACAGAGCTGCCGGGCCAAGGTGGTCTTCCCCGAATCGGTGAAACCAGTCAAGTTAAGGATCCGGTCTCCGCCATCTCTCATGAGGCTGGACTTCAAATTTGTCATCAACGGACTGTTCCATCCCACGGTAAACTTCGACGACATCGTTTCGTGATCATTCTTAAACATTGCTCGTCGAATATTATCATTGCTGGGAACAGTATCCCTAAGTCGGTCGGCTCGGTCTTGGAGCACAGTCACCGTCGTCACTGCCGCACCCCAAACCGTTAATAAACGTGCAATTTCGTTGTGTGCATTCTCAAGCTCTTCCTGGTAACTTGGCGCCATGCATCAGTTCCAGAATCCGATTTTGGAGTATCTGTCCCGAACCTCTTGCATTTTTGTCCTGATCCTTCGCAAAGCCTCTATGTCCTGGGCTGACTAGTCCGACGTCGTCTCGAGAAGTTGTTCAATTCTCACAAGCTTTGGGCTCACTAGATCAACCGTGCTGTTGAAGCTCTGAGCTGTTCTTCCATGCTTCAGACCCTTTTCAATTATACTCTTAGCCTCCTTTCCTAAAGTAAGTATAAAAGCCGGCGAAATAATATCCGCCATCGTCGATGGATAAGTGCTATGCAGCTCAACTTAATTTTCTGATTCAGAAACCCAGGCCACTCACAATCTCTCCGCCATTAATCCTAATCTTGCTTGGGCAATGTATCTTCTCGTGCTTAGCTTGATTGCAAGGGAGGGGAAGACTCTTGGAGTCAAGTCAATGTAATTGACACACACACACACACACACACACATATATATATGTATATATATATATATATTAATTATTGGTGATTGAGGAAACTCTGCTTATGTTTATAGCCAATCCTAAGCTCGGGTAAGGGAGGAGGGTTGTGTTAGGCCATCAACAGTCAACGTAAAACTTTGTTGAATCTATCATGAGCATGAACAATAGACATTACAATGTTAATGCTAGGTCGTTGCCCGTAAGTAACACGCTGCATGGCTCTAGTATAGTGATAAGTGAGTTAGAGCCGCTCCATCGACGCCCAAATGTAGTGTTAAATGAGCAAGGACTACCATGTCATTCTGGACATGCGTGGCTAAAGAGGTTAGTCCATAAGAGCAAGATTAGATTTGGTATTTGGAATGTTGGAATATTGAATTGTAAATCTATAAAGGTTATAGGGGTTATGATTCAAATAAAAATTAATATCCTATGCCTGCAAGAAAAAAAAATGGCGTGGAGAAGAAACTAAGGATATTCAAGGTTTCAAACTTTGGTATATAGGAAAAGTAAGCGCACGTAATGGAGTAGGCATCATTATTGATAAGGAGTGGAAGAATAACATTGTAGAAGTTAGCAGAATTGGAGACAAAATTATTTCCTTACAAATAATAGTTGGACGTGAGACTATTAATATTGTTAGCACTTATGCACCTCAAGTTGAGACAGAAGCTAATCTTAAGGAATTATTTTGAGAGGATCTGGAGGGGTTGATTCAACACATACCGCAGAGTAAAAAGATTTTTATTGGAGGAGACTTTAATGGGCATGTCGAGAGGGAGATTGGTCAATATGCGAGGGTGTATGGTGGTTTTGGTTTTGAAGAGCTAAACAATGAAGGATAAACTTTTCTTGATTTCTCGTTGGCATGTGATTTTAAAATTGCCAACATTTGTTTCAAGAGGAGAGATGAACATCTCATCACTTACAAAAGTGGAGCCTCAAAGTCACAGATTGATTTTCTTTTGGTTAGGAACACAAATAGAAGACTCTGTAAAAATTGCAAAGTGATTCCCAGGGATGCTGTAATGACATAACATAGGGTCCTTGTCCTCGATGTGTGTATTATGAGTAAAATTCAAAAACGTTGACAAGTAGTAGCATTAAGGATTAGGTGGTGGCAATTAAAAGGTGAGAAGCAAGATATTTTCAAGTGGAATCTTTTGGACAAAGAAATTTGGAAATCTCAGGAAAGTGCTAACATCATGTGGGACGATATAAGGGAGGTTGCAAAAGTAGTTTTGGGGGAATCAAAAGATTCTGGTTCGAGAGATAAGGAGTCTTGATGGTGAAATAATAGTGTATAGGACAAAATCAAATATAAAAAAAGCTATTTTAAAGCCACACATTTGTGTAACAATGAGGAAAATTAGGAGAGGAACCGTATGGCTAAGAAAAAACTAAGAGAGCTGTGAGTGAAACTCGTTCTAAAGCTTTTGAAGAATTTTATAAGAACCTTGAAATAAAAGAAGGAGAACGAAACATTTATAAGATTGTTAAGAGTAGGAAAAAAAAATCAAGAGATCTAGAACACGTAAGATGTATAGATGATGAAGAGGGAAGAATTTTAGTTACAGATGATGAAATTAAAAATAGATGAGAGACTTACTTTTCCAAACTTTTCAATGATGGAGAGGATTCATCTAGTAACTTGGAGGATTTAGTAACCCATGAAGGAGAACAAAATTTATCATTCTATCGAATGATACGTGATAAGGAGGTAAATGAAGCTTTTAAGAAAATGGCAAATGGTAGAGCCAACGGACCTGATTGTATGTCTATTGAAGTATGAAAATGTTTAGGTGAAGAAAGGGTGAAATAGTTAACTAAGTTATTTAATATGATTTTATGGTTCAAGAAAATGCCTGACGAGTGGAGGAGAAGTACATCAATTCTTATTTATAAAAATAAAGAGGATATTCAGAATTGTACTAACCATAGAGAGATTAAACTCATGAGTCACACAATGAAATTATGGGAGAAAGTAATTGAGCACAGGTTGAGATTGGAGACAAGTATTTTTGAGAATCAGTTTGGTTTTATGTTAAGTAGGTTGACTACAGAGGTGATTTATCTACTAAGACGATTAATGAAAAAGTATCGTTGTAAAGATAAAGATTTACACGTAGTTTTTATTAATTTGAAAAAAGCTTATGACCGTATACCAAAAGAAGTACTTTGAAAAGCCTTAGAAAAGAAGGGAGTACGGATTGCTTATATTAAAGTCATATAAGATATATATAAGGGGATAAAAACTAATATAAGAACGTCTAGTGGTCAAACAAAGGACTTTTTTATAGAGATTGAACTACATTAGGGATCATTTTTGAGTCCTTATTTGTTTAATTTGATCCTAAATATTTTGACAGAACATATTCAAGGAAAAATTTTCAATTGTATGCTCTTCACGGATGATATAGTTCTTATAACAGAGACAAGAGAAGAGGTTAATTGTAAACTTAAGTTATGGAGAAGGATATTGGAGTCGAAAGGTTTTCATCTGAGTAGGAGTAAGACGGAATATTTATATTGTAAATTTGATAAGAGACTAGTCGATAGTAATTTGAAAGTGAAATTGGGAGATCAAATTATACCTCAAGTGAAAAAATTTAGATATTTGGGAGCCATTATTTAAAATGATGGCGAAATCAGTGGGAATATTTTATATAGGATTCAAGTTGGGTGGTTTAATTGGAGAAAAGTTAAAGGAGTTATTTGCAATTGTAAGATGCCTAATAAACTTAAAGGAAAGTTTTATCATATTGCTATCAGACCGGCTATATTATATAATAGTGAATGCTAAGCTCTAATGGGACAGCAAAAGCATAAAGTTAGAGTAATAGAGATGAGAATGTTACGATGAATGTGTGAACATACGCGTAAACATAAAATTGAAAATGAGCACGTACGCAAAAAAGTGATGGTAGCACCTATTGAGAAAAAAATAGTAAAAAATCGTTTGAGATGGTTTGGGCATATATAAAGAAGACTGTGGGAGGTACCAGTGAGAAGAGTAAAATATATAACTTTGAGCCTTGTTAAGCGAGGTAGAAGAAGGCCTAAGAGAACACTCTTAAAAATTGTTGAACACGATCTCTTAATTAATAATATTTTTAAAAATTTGATAAATAATAGAGCACATTAACATCTTATAATTCATATAGCCGACCTCATTTAGTGAGGTAAAAGCTTGTTGTTGTTGTTGTTGTTCTTGTTCTTGTTGTATTGATGATTGAGGAAGACCGAGCGGAAAGGGTCCGTCTTGCGTAGTCGTCATGATGATGAGTAACATGGTCGGCATTATCCTATGAGATCTAGGCGTCCAAATTAACTATCCAGATTTAATTTAACGGTACAGGTTTAAAGTTTTTAATGTATTTATCATCATCATCATCATCACCAACAAAATAAAATTTATAAAATTATAATTTTTAAATAAATATATTTATTATTACTATAAACAGTACTGATTTAACCTAGACAGTACGATTTGATAATAAAAAATTTATACTTTTATAAATTAATTAGTTAGTCCAGACTAAATTTTTGATAAAAAGATTTATTAAAATTTTACAAGTTTTTATTTTATTTTTTAAATTTAGACGATCCACATCTCTTCTTCTTAACGAGCACCAAAGATAGTTTCTAGGATAAGACCACCGGTTCGATTACACATTAAGAAAGATGTGAATGGAATTATTTTTCACAGCCCTAAATTTCAAAGAAATGGCTGGCCGTGATGGTCGAGGGTGGGGACTATAGATACTTTTGAATATAAGAATATTGGTTGCTTTATATTTTCTTATAATTATGGATTCTTTTAACTTTTAACTTTTTTTTTATATAGTGTTACAAATTTTTGATTGCAAGAATATGCCAAGAAGATATACAAAAAGTTGCAGTTATAAATAAGGAAAGCAACTTCTAAGTTTTAGCTATACAAAATTAAATTAAATAATTAATTCAATACAGTAAGTCGTTTGGAAAAGGGGTTTTGTGATTCTTTTATTAAGGTATCATATTAACTTTCTTATAAATTTTTGTTTTTACCTTTATTCTAGGAAAGTAGAAATTTTTAAGAATCATATTTAGTATAGATAAAGTAAAAAAAAAATAGCATAGATAGAGTTAATGATGAGTTTTAATATTTTTATTTATTTTTAATAAAAAAGACTGAATATAGCTTATAATAGATAAAAATACAAGAAATATTACCAACTAAAATTGGTGCAAATGGCACCTTTGCCGTTATTTATTAAGAAAAGTTTACCTTTCTCTTTTAATATTTCATGAGAGATAATCTCTATTATTGTTTGGATGTATCTCTTATGCTATTAAGAAAATAGAAGAAATATTCTAAATCTCCTCTCTCTTTTTTAATCCGTCAATGTTACTATCCTTTCTACCTACCGTGGTGTCCATGCATGACAATTCTCCTTCAATTCTATATATTAATCATCTTTTAAAGGTATAATTTTGTCTATTTTTTAAGTTACTAGTTAATGGGATTGTTTTGTTTCAATTTGAAATTCTCAAACTACCATTA